CACATATCATGTTGATTCAGGATTTGGGACAATTGCAGTGTCTAACTATTGGAAAAATGGAAAGCCCAGGTTAAGGACAGACCATCATGGAGAAAATCTATCTATATGGTTGTCAGGATTCAATCTGAATATGATGACATGTAATCAATTGCATGGTCTGCATTCACATATTACTAATATACTAAGCTGCATAAAGGGCATCATGGGCTTCCCAGTATCCCAGGAAGCACCATGCTAGCTAAATTGAACGTTGAAATTCTCTCCATCAACAATTCCCTTCAAAAGGTAAATTAGTACAGGACACTTACAATACATCCAGACTATAGGATCTGCTACTCTGAATTAACAATGTTGAATACATAAGCACAAATATCATAAGTATCTCAGGGGCTGCCACAGAGAAGAGGGAGTCAAGCTATTCTCCAAAGCAACTGAGGGCAGGACAAGAAGCAATGGGTGGAAACTAATCAAGGAGAGAAGCAACCTAGAGCTAAGGAGAAATTTCCTGACAGAACAATTAATCAGCGGAACAGCTTGCTTCCAGAAGTTGCTCTAACACTGGATGTTTTTAAGAAGAGATTGGACAACCATTTTTTAAAAATTTGATTTATATGCCGCCCTTCTCCGGAGACTCAGGGCGGCTTACAGTGCGTTAAGCAATTGCCTTCATACTTTTGTATATTTATACAAAGTCATCTTATTGCCCCCACAAACTGGGTCCTCAATTTACCTACCTTAGAAAGGATGGAAGGCTGAGTCAACCTTGAGCCTGGCAAGATTCGATCTTACTTTAATTGCAGACAGCTGGTGTTAAATTACAGTGCTTCTGTCTATTGAGCTAAACCAGGCTCCTGACAACCATTTGTCTGAAATGGCATAGGGTTTTCCTGCCTGAGCAGGAGGTTGGACTAAAAGACCTCTAAGGTCCCTTCAAACTCTGTTATTCTAATTCCAAAAAAAACCAAAAACAAATGTGGACTTCTCAGAATCTTTATGGAAAACACTGGGAAACCATTCTGTCAATTCTTGTTCCTAAAGTCTTAAAGCAAAAACGATGAGTTTAACTTATAAGTACAGTAAAATTCAGCAATCCTTAATCCTCTGATCAGAGCAAATAGACAAAGAAAGCCGACTAGGTGTTGTGTTCCCCTCTTTTTCTCCACATTGTAGAAGACCAACATTAATCTATGATGGGTCAAAAAAAAAATTAAGAAACAGCCTGATATCTTTCAGCTAACAAATTTGATTAAAAGGCATACATTTGGGGAAGCGGAAGACTGATGCACGAGGAGAAACTTTTTCCTTGCTTAAGTAGTAAAACAGGACAAACAGACTGAGGATCAAAGGAGAACTTCGAAGAAGAGTCAGAAGGTGAAATGAGAAAAATCAGGATAAGCTAGTTACAGAACAGAAGGAATATACCATACCATAGTTATGTACAGCACATACTTCCCCTTAGAAACCTGGCATGTTTCCTCGGTGGCACCCAATTCTGTGAGGCAATAATCATGCCAACTTTTAATTAGGCTTCCTTCCTGCGTGACCTCTCTTTTCTAAAATTTTGAACTTCTAACCCTTACAGGTAGGTGAAGGTCCATTACCTTCACCGTTCTAGTCCATATAAAATTTGCTAGATGTAACCAGGAGCATCCAGCAAAGCTGTGTATATGTGAAAATCTGCAACAGGTGGGCACGATGTCAAGACACAGCCTCATCTCTTTTGTACGTGTGCATCCTCCACTTGAAGATTTGATATCCCTGATGATATTCATTCATTCATTCATTCATTCATTCATTCATTTATGAGCCGCAATGGTGCAGTGCAATACTGCAGGCTACTTCTGCTGATCACCGGCTGCCAGCAGTTTGGCAGATCGAATCTCACCAGGCTCAAGGTTGATTCAGCCTTCCATCCTTCCGAGGTGGGTAAAATGAGGACCCAGATTGTTAGGGGGCAATATGGTGACTCTGTAAAACCACTTAGAGAAAGCTATAAAGCACTGTGAAGTTGTATATAAGTCTAAGTGCTATTGCTGATGCTATTGCTATTTATTAAATGTATATGTTGCCCATCTCATCATCAAGCAACTCTAGATGGCTTATAAGAAAATTAAAACTGCAATATAAAACATTAAACAATAAATATTATTAATAAAAATGGTTAAGAAGGAACCAACAGACAACAGAATGGAGGTAGAGACATCTCTTAATCTTTATGTTGCTGTTCCTCGTTTCACTAAGATTAAGAGACGTCTCTACCTCCATCCTGTTGTATATTGGTTCCTTCTTAGCCATTTTTATTAATTGCTGGTTATAGTGTACTTTGCCATTACCATCAACCACAGAAGCTTTTAAAATAAATGTTGCCAAAATTCAGAGACACCTTAGCTTGGAAGTACAAGTTGAATCCATTCCAAATTCACTACATATAATTGGTTGTTTTTTTTTTAACTACAAAAGAAGACACAGTGAAATGAAGCTTCATGTTAAGCATCAGTATATTTTAGTCAATTGTTACTTCTTTAATCCGATATTTTATTTTTACACTTACTTGCTACGCACTGAGAGCTTCTGCACTGGAAATAAATTCCTTGCGTGTCTAATCACACTTGGCCAAATAAGGCGTTCTATAAAGTAGGAAGGCTGTTCATTTTGTTTTACCTGAAGCCAACATACGGTAATCGTAATTTGGGATATCTCTGAGTTGGTGCAAATTTCTTCTAATATTCCCATTTACTTTAGGCACATCCAGTATTTCCCTTATGTAGTATGTGTGTGTTTGAATTGCCCCTTTATAATACACAAGTATACCCATTTTAAAACAAATAAGGATATATGTGTGTATATTTTTTATTGTAAATTTTATTCTATTTTTTAAACCAAATATAATGTGTGTATGTATATATCCATGCACATTATATTTGATTCAAACTGCTGAATTAGGTTACGTTTGAAATTTTTACTACAATATAATCTTATAAATTTCTCCTCCCTTTGGCTGCAGAATCCTTTCTCTGTAACTATAATGGTCTGTTAGGAGCCTCATAAAAATTCTGAAGATGGTTTGCCAAATAACCACCTGCATATTCCTCAATTATCTAGGAAAAGGGCAGCCAGCTTCCTGGTTCAAAAGAAATCTAATAGGAAAAGTTTTCCCTAACAAACTGAAAGAGAAAGTGACTTTTAAAGTGAAAGGAATACAATTGCTGAGGTCTTTATAACCCTATTCCTTATCCTTTCCCTAAATCTAATTAAATCTGTGGGCATGTTAGTATGCTATCTAAACAAGAATCTGTATTTATATTTAAAACTACTTGAGAAACGTAAGCAGAAGTTGATCCATGCAGATATCTTGCTGAAAAAGAGACTGTTGAGATTGTCCACATTCAACATTGATGAAGCAGTCCAATTTGCTAATTTTCTTCTTTAACTGTGCTATAATGTGTCTTGCTGTCAAAGGGCTTACAATAAGTAAGAAAGTTAGGCAAAAGTCAGTTTACAGAGACACGTTTTTAGAAAAAAATCAATTTGAATAATAGACTTCAGCATTTTTAGAAATTATCAGTTATGAGAAATGTATGCTTGGAATTATAACAGAAATGGTTTAACAACAAACTGCTATAAATTAAGGTAGAAAACTACAGATACATAAGGACTTTAACAAAAAGTATTTTGCAGAGGACTGGGAAATAACATACTTATCTTGTTAAAAATGTATTTACCAAGATACTCCTGTAACCTAGATTAGCAATTTAGAACCAGAATTACTTTATTCCTGCAATATGCATACCCCAAACCTATAAAAATATAGCATTATATATTGCAATGTGTGTGTTTTTTAAATCACATTCAACATCTTGGAGAAGCTGCTTAGCCTTGAGAGTTCAGTCTGGTTTTGCTTGAAGCTTTTATTCATAAATATTAAATAAATAAATAAATAAATAAATAAATAAATAAATAAATAAATAAATAAATAAATAAATAAATAAATAAATAAATAAATATAAATAGCTTAATAAATATTGCCACACTTGGATTATGCTTTATTAAGGAATTCATTATGCCATTATTCATTATTATGGAATTCATTATTCATTATTACGGACAAGAATCTGAAACTTCTGTGTGGAAAGTTTTTGACTGTGTGGAAACCAGTCTAAAATTATGCCAAAAGGTTGTAGCATGAGTAGGATCACACTTCCATGGAAATTTAATTTCTACCTGGAGTCTAGAAGAATCCTGAGGTAAAGCAGATTATTTGAGATATACAGGGGGACATAGGATCATCCGCAGGAAGTCAAGTTGGCAAGAATTACTAAAGAATCGAAACCTTACTATATATGTGTGTATGAAGAATGTGACACACCCAAAGCAGAATTTCTTTAAAAAAAAAAAATCACCCCTGGATACTGTTGGGTGCACAAATATATGTGCACATGAAACAGAATAAGGGAGCTCACGTAGAAATGATACTAGTAATGAAACTAAAGACAAAATAGATTTGCCCAGCCTTCAATCTTGCTTAATTCTTTCACTTCTCTTTTCCGATGTCTCCTTCATCCTGGTATGTAGCTTGTATTGGTTGAGGCCTCTGACACTTCATTTCTCATGAGATTATATCTGTTATGCATGTGTTTGTATTTAGTTATGTCTGAGGATTTTCTTAGCTTTAGGAAGTTAAGCCACTAATCTGCCTTTTTTGTCAAGAGGAATGCTTCCGTATCTTCGTCATGAAACAGTGAAGAGGAGATTAATCACATTCGCTCTTTGAAGCACTCATACACAGCCCTGCCCTTGTTCTGTGGTCCATTAACTTGAATAAACTGTGACACACCTTCCTGATCCAAAGAAGCCTAGTTGCCCTCACCCACTATTATAGATATGACTGTTTAATAATTATGCCTGCAGGTGCCAGATAAGGGTTTCTCATTTGGTAACTAACTATAAAAAGTAGAAAGATCCTTCCAGGAGCTATCATTCTTGACTAGACCTGGGATAACTGCAATGGACAACCGGGCACTAAGATCTAACCATTTCTTATGGGTTATATTACCCTTGTGCCTTCACTTGACAGGTAAGACTTTTTGCCTTCCATTCCTCAAGTCACTTAGACCTTTGTGTATCATTCCTATGGAAAAAGAGTTAAAAGTTCTATGGGGAAAAATGGAAATCAAGGGTGGGAGATTGCAAAAACTTTCCCCTTCTTCCTCCCTCCTCTCAATGGAGATTTGATCTCGGAGATAATAACAGTTGGAGGGTAGGCGAGTCAGGATCATAGTCTCAAGAAAGAAAAAACGAGGGGAGGTTCTAACTTACTCCATTTGGTAAAAGGTAATATGCTTGATGGGGGCACAATGGCTCGGCGGTTAAAGACGCTGAGCTTGTCAGCTGGAAAGCTGACACCCCAGGTTCGAGACCCCAGCGTTACACAACGGGGTGAGCTCTCGTTTCTTGCCTGAGCTCCTGTCCACCTAGAGGAGCAGTTCAAAAGCATGCAAATGCAAGTAGATAAATTGGTACCACTTCAGTGGGAAAGTAACAGCGTTCCTTGCACCTCAGTGTATCATCATGCTAGCCATATGACCATGGAAATATCTTCAGACAACATGGCTCGCTCGACTAAGAAACAGACATGAGCACGCACCCCCTAGAATTGGACTCAACTGGACCTTTACTGTACCTTTATTATACTTTATAAGTGTACTTTGAAGGAGAAGAGAATTTTGATGAAGTTCAGATGGCTGGCTTGTGTTTCTCTGAGTTATATGAATATATATGAGTTATATATTACTGTGTTATATATCTTTCTCTGAGTTATATGAATGTATGAAAATTGAAAAGAATTCCCGAATACCAGAATATGTGAGCACATGGCAGAAAAACAGAAGGTTATTTTTATAGTTAGAGATAAAAAAGACCTTGAAAAATTACAAGGCGGGTATTGGTACATCCCTATTTAAATATTCGTAACTGAACTGAGCTCTGATCATCATGATTGCATGCACCAGCCTATAGCAGTCTTTCAATATCTGAGGGGCTTCTCACAGAGAAGAGGGAGTTGACCTATTCTCAAAAGAGGGTAGGACAAGAAGTAACAAATGGAAGCTTATCAAGGAGAGAAGCAACCTAGAACTAGGGAGAAACTTCCTGACAGTGAGAACAATTAATCAGTTGATTGGCTTTCCTTCAGAAGCTGTGGGTGCATTACTGGAGGTTTTTAAGAGATTGGACAGCTATTTGTTTCTTATGCCATTAAGGTCATCAAGGTCTCCCGCTTGAGCAGAGGGTTGGGCTAGAAGATCTCCAAGGTCCCTTCCAACTCTGTTATTTTGTATTCTATTCCCACCGTCTTCCCAACCTTACCTGAAAGATGATTATTGTAAGTAGATGCAGTTGAATGCAATTTCATGTCTCTACAATTGTGAGTCCCAAATGTGTAGAGGACCCCATCTTGGCTATGACTGCAATTTTATTTAGCCCATCTTCCTTACATTAATTCTTTCGATTGGCCTGCTGACCATGGGAAATTTGGAAGTAGCAAATGACTAGGCAGCATCTCAACAATTTTAGTTCAAAGGTCCTCTTGTAACACTCTCAAATTCAGCTATGCAACTTTTCCATCATGACCCACTCTAGATATTTTGATTCTATAGATCCCAAAATTTCCATTTTGGTTGGGGATGTGAGGAACTGGAGAGTTCAAAGCCTTCTAGTAAAGACCAGGAGGGGAAAAATGATGACCTGGGATCTAATGTATAGGGGGGAAATTTTATTGTGACTGTCCAGGGATTGTTCTGAGGCTAAACATCATAACTTAAGAGTCTATAGTAGAGTAATTGTGTGTTTGGCATAATATGAATGTAAAAACACTATTTATATTGTGTTATACTAACCACTGGGGCTGCAAAGTACAATCTAGAAAATAATAAGGCCATTTCAGAGAGAGAGACAAACAGTATATTTATCCAGCTTCACTTTTTGAGAACCAAATTTGAAGCCCTGCTGAGCCCTTCTGGCCATATTTTATCCCATAGGACATACCAGGTGTGTCAAACTCAAGGCCCGCAGGCTGAATTTGGCCCTTGGGGTGCTTACATCTGGCCAATGGGGCCACCCTAGAACCGGCGAAGTACTGGCCCACGGTGCCTCTTCCAGTGAAAATGGAGCTCAGGCTCCATTTTTGCTGGCAGAGGGCTGCAGGAGGCTGTCGCAGCCGAAAACGGAGCAAGTGATGTCGAGCTGGCCACACCCACCCTGGCCACACCCCACACACCCCCCCAGGTCAAGCACAACCCTTATGTGGCCTGCAATGAAATCGAGTTTGACACCCTGTTCAATAAAGTTCAGATCAATGTAATTTACACTAGAATAAAATAGAATATAATTCTTTATTGGCCAAGTGTGATTGGACACACAAGGAATTTGTCTTGGTGTACATGCTCTCAGTGTACATAAAAGAAAAGATACATTCATCAAGAATCATAAGGTACAACACTTAATGATAGCCATAGGGTACAAATAAGCAATCAGGAAACAATCAATATCAATATAAATTGTAAGGATACAAGCAACAAAGTTACAGTCATACAGTCATAAATGGAGGAGATGGGTGGTGGGAACGATGAGAAGATTAATAGTAGTGCAGACTTAGTAAATAGTTTGACAGTGTTGAGGAATTATTTGTTTAGCAGAGTGATGGCGTTCGGGGAAAAACTGTTCTTGTGTCTAGTTGTTCCGGTGTGCAGTGCTCTATAGCGTCGTTTTGAGGGTAGGAGTTGAAACAGTTTATGTCCTATGGTTGTATTATTTGCTCAATGATTTATGTCAATTCACTATCTTTATATTCAAACTCGCCACTCAAAGTGAAATCAACAATAATCTTTCTATTCATTTTATCGTCCAAACGACATCCTACTGGGGTTGGGTGACCAATAAAGGGAGGAGGAAGAGGCAACACTGAAAAATATTAACTCCATAGCAATGGGCTGGGTGTGGATTGAAGTTTGAGTCATAATCCAATACGTGCGCCAAAATAAGACCCCGGTTGGTGCTGCCCTGGTGGTGCAGTGGTGAAGGTGCAGTACTGCAGGCAAAACTCTGCCCACAGTTTGGAATTTGATCCTGACTGGCTCAAGGTTGATTCAGTCTTCCATGCATCCCAGGTTGGTAAAATTAAGATTGTTTGGAGCAATATGCAAATAATGTCGACACTGTAAACTTTCCAGAGAGTTCTGTAAAGTGCTATAGGGCAGTATATATGCCTAAATGATATTGCTATAATGATCAAAAGTAGTATTAATTGATGAGGTAAATTATTTTAGATTGATTTTTTAAAACCCTCAGATTAATTAAACAGCAGATGTATTGATATGGAATATATTCCTAAATACACATATTTTTTTAAAAAACCTATACAGGTAGCCCTCAACTTACAACAGTCCATTTATTCACTGTTCAAAGTTACAACAGCGTTGAAAAATGTGACTTACGACCATCTTTCACAGTTACGAACTTTGCAGCATCCCCATGATCATGTGATCAAAATTCAGACGCTTTGACTCATATTTATGACGGTTGCCGTTCCTGGGTCATGTGATCCCCTTTTGCGAACTTCTGACAGGCAAAGTCAATGGGGAAGCCAGATTCTCTTAATAACCAGGTTACTAACTTATCAACTGCAGTGATTCAGTTAACAACTGTGGCAAGAAAGGTTGTAAAATGGGGCAAAATTCACTTAACAAATGTCTCACTTAGCAACAGAATTTTGGGCTCCATTGTGGTCGTAAATTGAGGACTATCCATCCAGGCTATCTCATCTTAGCAGCGGTATGCCTCTTTCTCCCTCACATAGCCAGGGATTCCTCTTTTAAGATGAGGCCCGCTGTGATGCCTGAGCCATCTGAACAATATTGCTGCTTATTTCTAAATATTTCTATTTTCTCCATATTCAGGCTCATCTCTTGCCAGTCCAACTGGACGCCCTGAAGCAACTTTATCAAGCAGGACCTTCAGCACATCTTTCAGTTCTCCCACTGGCCCAGTATTTCCCACCAACCCAATCTCCAGCAGCCCAACAGCTACTCATCTCAACTCTATCAAAACGAACATCCCAACCACAGGAATTTCCTCTGGTGTATCTTCCCTCTCTGGTTCAATCAGCTCAATTTCCTCCCATCCCAGTGTCCCTGGCTCAGTATTGTCCACTCATCCTGGCTTGACCAATTCAATACCCTTGAACCCAGGTTCAACCAACGTTCAAACAAGCATCCCAACCTCAGGAATTTCCTCTGGCCTATCTGTCAACCCTGGTTCAATCAACCCAATTTCCTCCCATCCCAGTGTCCCTGGCTCAGTATTGTCTACTCATCCCGGCTTGACCAATTCAATATCTTTGAACCCAGGTTCCACCAACTTCCAAACAAGCATCCCAACCTCAGGAATTTCCTCTGGCCTATCTGTCAACCCTGGTTCAATCAACCCAATTTCCTCCCATCCCAGTGTCCCTGGCTCAGTATTGTCCACTCATTCCGGCTTGACCAATTCAATATCTTTGAACCCAGGTTCCACCAACTTCCAAACAAGCATCCCAACCTCAGGAATTTCCTCTGGCCTATCTGTCAACCCTGGTTCAATCAACCCAATTTCCTCCCATCCCAGTGTCCCTGGCTCAGTATTGTCCACTCATTCCGGCTTGACCAATTCAATATCTTTGAACCCAGGTTCCACCAACTTCCAAACAAGCATCCCAACCTCAGGAATTTCCTCTGGCCTATCTGTCAACCCTGGTTCAATCAACCCAATTTCCTCCCATCCCAGTGTCCCTGGCTCAGTATTGTCTACTCATCCCGGCTTGACCAATTCAATATCTTTGAACCCAGGTTCCACCAACTTCCAAACAAGCATCCCAACCTCAGGAATTTCCTCTGGCCTATCTGTCAACCCTGGTTCAATCAACCCAATTTCCTCCCATCCCAGTGTCCCTGGCTCAGTATTGTCCACTCATTCCGGCTTGACCAATTCAATATCTTTGAACCCAGGTTCCACCAACTTCCAAACAAGCATCCCAACCTCAGGAATTTCCTCTGGCCTATCTGTCAACCCTGGTTCAATCAGCTCAATTTCCTCCCATCCCAGTGTCCCTGGCTCAGTATTGTCCACTCATTCCGGCTTGACCAATTCAATACCCTTGAACCCAGGTTCAACCAACGTTCAAACAAGCATCCCAACCTCAGGAATTTCCTCTGGCCTATCTGTCAACCCTGGTTCAATCAACCCAATTTCCTCCCATCCCAGTGTCCCTGGCTCAGTATTGTCCACTCATTCCGGCTTGACCAATTCAATATCTTTGAACCCAGGTTCCACCAACTTCCAAACAAGCATCCCAACCTCAGGAATTTCCTCTGGCCTATCTGTCAACCCTGGTTCAATCAACCCAATTTCCTCCCATCCCAGTGTCCCTGGCTCAGTATTGTCTACTCATCCCGGCTTGACCAATTCAATACCTTTGAACCCAGCTTCCACCAACTTCCAAACAAGCATCCCGACATCAGGAATTTCTCCTGGTGTATCTTCCAACTCTGGTTCCACTAACACAGGTTCATCTTCTTACCCAATTAGCATTTCTACAAACAATTCTCCAGTGAATACTTTCACCACTCTTCCCACGTTACCTGGCTATCCTTCCCAAACTTTATCTGGCTCAAGCACCACCATATCTCCTTTGCCAGAGCCTACTTCCAGCATTACAACTTTTACCAACTCACCTGGTGCTACTGAGTCCTCAGGTTCAGCACCCACAGGATCCACATCTAACAGCACAGGTAGGCTTATTTCTTTATACCACCGTATTTAAACTTACAAAACAAAAATGCCTTCAGATGTAATTCATTAAGTAGCAGCATTGCCCATAAAAGTGCTGCTTAGACCATTTGTATAAAGATTTACTTTCTGTTCACATACTGGAAGGAGCGAGGAGAAGAAGCCTAGATTAAGGCTTTCGGCTCAGTGGCTAAAACGCTGAGCTTGTCGATCGAAAGGTCGGCAGTTCAGCGGTTTGAATCCCTAGTGCCGTGTAACGGGGTGAGCTCCTGTTACTTGTCCCAACTTCTGCCAACCTAGCTGTTCGAAAACACGTAAAAAATGCAAGTAGAAAAATAGGAACCACCTTTGGTGGGAAGGTAACGGTGTTCCGTGCACCGTTGGCATTTAGTCATTCCGGCCACATGACCGTGGAGACGTCTTCGGACAGCTCTGGCTCTTCAGCTTTGAAACAGAGATGAGCACCGCCCCCTAGAGTTGGGAATGACTAGCACATATTTGTGAGGGGAACCTTTAATAGGATTTTTAGCTTCTTTTGAATAAAGACGACCCTACAATATTTCTGGTTTGATTCCATTGTTAAATTTCCTTCACTGTTAGATTTCTTTCCTCTGATATTCAGCTGGAATCTGCTTCCAATAATTTAAATCAAGTATTCTATGACTACAAGGACAAAGAAAAATCTTGACCTTCAGTATGACAAACTTCCATATCTTTTAAAACAGCTATCACATCCTCAGCCAGATTATCAGTGATAAAGATTCTCACCAATGTGGGATCCTTGCTGCTCTCTTAGCTTGGCTGTTTTCTCGCAGACATTTAATAACCAAACTAGGTAACATCATCATGATGTTACCGAGTTTGGTAATGAAAGGTTCATTACCACAGTTTAATCCTGAGCTACAAGTATTGTCTTCTATTGATTCCCATCAATTTCAATTTGTCTTTGGTGGGTTTTGTTTCTAGTCCTCATTGCCCTTTCTTGAATCTGCTTGTCTGAATCCTAGTTTTAAAATGGTGTTCCAGACTGGACATAATATTTGTGATATTGTCTTGCTTATGCATAATAATATAATACAAATATTATTTCTCTTGATTTGGCAAAGCCAATCCACCCTAAGCACTTAGGTGAGATTGGAAGAGGAAAGAAATGTGATGAATAAAAATAAATACTTTTTAATACTTTTTTAAAGTTTATAAAACTCATAAAAACTCAGACAAAGTAATAAAGAGCAGAAGCAATGAAGAAGGATAGAAGACGAAAACAAAGATGGAGGAAAAATATTAAAAAGGGGAAAAAAATAGAAGACATCCTTTGCAGCAAATATAAGCACAAGTACAAAATTATCTTACTGTATGACTACATTTTAAAACTTACTTTTTTTATTATCCTTTCTTTCTAATCCTCAAAACCTTACATTATAAGTGCATTTTTTTCCTGCTTTATGCAAAACGTCTATATGAAGTTTTCAGTCAACCATAAATGTAGAAAATGTTCTTTATATATTTTTGTTGATGTAGCTTGGAATTATATTGCCTTTTCTGTAGCCGCTCACACTCCTGACTTGGATTTAGTCACTTTTGTTCCAAGAACTATAGATCCAATATAGATAGGAAGAGAATGCTTGCTATGTATTTCTTTATCCTAACATCTTCATAAAATGATTTACTAAACTTGGAAACCTTTTCTCTTCCCCATAGGTTCCCTCAAACCTGGAGATGAAGCTGGTCTCACATATTGGGTTATTATTCTGATTTGCATAGTCTGCGTCGGAGCTGTTCTTTTGATGCTTTGCTTCAGTTTCTTGGTAAGAAATGGGGAAAATTTCTGTTCAAGTGTTGGGAAGGGGACACAACTGGGTATGAAGGAGGTTTGGGGGGTGGGTTGCTGGAAGGTCCCCAGATCAGTCGTGGGTTGCCCCCGGTTCGCACCTGTTCTATACAACCGGTAGTAAAACTGGTGGGAGGCTCTGCCCATCGATCCCGACATCATCAAAATGTTTCTGCGCATGTGCAGAAGAGCACGCACATGAGCGAAGCAAGCGCGTACGGCCCCACTGCGAACCAGTAGTAAAGTAAGTAGACGTATTTTGCAGCTAGGGAAATGGCCTGCTTTCCATGACTTTGTCATGTGGCACAGCCTCTGGAATCGACTCTGAATGGTCCAGTTGTGTAATCACAACAGTTACTGTCAGAAATAATAATAATCATAATAGCAATAGCACTTAGACTTATATACCCCTTCATAGTGCTTTTACAGCCCTCTCTAAGCGGTTTACAGAGTCAGCATTTTGCCCTCAACAATCTGGGCCCTCATTTTACCCACCTCGGAAGGATGGAAGGGTGAGTCAACCTTGAGCCAGTGAGATTTGAACTGCTGAACTGCAGCTAACAGTCAGCTGAAGTAGCCTGCAGTACTGCACTCTAACCACTGCACGACCTCAGACTTATTACTTATAGTAATAAGTAATATGTCATTATGTAAAAAAATATGCCCTACCTGTATCCGAAAAATCATGGGAACATAAAGTGGAAAAAGTTACCGAAAATGAGACAGTGAAGATCTTGTGAGACTTTCAAATACAGACAGATTGTCATCTGGAACACAACACGCCAGATATCACAGTTGTCGAGGACCGAAGCATACAGTTTATTGATATCGCTGTACCAGGAGACGCCAGAGTCAAAGAAAAAGAACTGGAAAAAATCATGAAATATCGCGACCTGGCCATCGAAACTACACGGTTATGGATGAAACAAGTAGCAGTGATACCCATTGTCATCAGGGCAGTTGGTACCATGTCCAAGAATTTTACAAAACACATCAAGAAATTGCAGCTTCCTGCAATAACACCAGCGGAACGTGCAATCATCAGAGGCTTTTTTTTTTTTTTTTTTTTTTTACTTTTAAAAGCATTTTTTCGTCGGAAGAGAACCACTGACTGCCATCGCTACCAGATTGGGCGATCCGGTCGGAACCGGGAACATTTCACCCCTGAGGAGGATCAATGTATAAGAAACCAAAACATACGTGTTTGACAGAAACCAGCACTGTTTGCAGAAGAGTTGTGACTGATATATGAATTGTATATATACTGTCATTTCTGTTTTACCTTTAAACTCACTCACATCTTGTTTCCTTCTATCTCTCCTGTAGCTTTGTTATTGTTTACGACAAGGGAACACCAGTCCTGTCTGCTTCCCTATGTACCAGACCCACAACAGTCCCCAAACCTATCAGAGTTCCTGTCGATGAAGGAAACAATCTTCTTGATCTTAGCCTTACACCAAGTGACAATAAGCTCCTTGAAACTGTTCCTGGTCTTCTTGAGAACTTCCTCTTCTTCAGGATGGAACTGCTATAGCCTTCCTCTTCTTTGGGTGACACCATGGAATAGTGAAGATAGTTGTGGATTCATATATTCAGGGGTGAAATGCTCCCGGTTCGAACTGGATCGCCCGATCCGGTAGCGATGGAGGTGGGTGGTTCGGAGAACTGGTAGCAAAATCCCTGCCCCCCCCCATGCCCAGCTGAGCCGCACAATCATCAGAGGCTTTTTTTAATTTTTAAAAGCATTTTTTCTACAACCTCTGGCCAAACAAATGCTTTTAAAAGTAAAAAAAAAAAGCCTCTGATGAGCTGAAGAGGTTGTAGAAAAAATGCTTTTAAAAGCCTCTGACGATCCCAGCTGAGTTGCCTGATCGGCAGAGGCTTTTAAAAGAAAAAAAGTCTCTGACGATCCAAGCTGAATTGCCTGATCGTCAGAGGCTTTTAAAAGAAAAAAAGCCTCTGCCGATCAGGCCACTCAGCTGGGATCATCAGAGCCTTTTGAAAGCATCTTTTTACAACCTCTTCACCAAAGAGGTTGTAGAAAAAATGGTTTTAAAAGTTTTAAAAAAAATTGGCCACGCCCATCCAGTCACATTACCCCCACACACACACACAAAGCCATGCCCACAGAACCTGTAGTAACAAATTTTAGATTTCACCACTGCATATATTCCAATTTATATATTCTTCTGTGGTTCCCTCTGTTGTTTCAGACCAATAAAGACAATTTATTGTGTGAGATAAACCTAAACTCAATGAGATTGTGGAGATAGGAAGATACTAACTGAAAATTTGGGAAACTGTGGTTCAAATCCTTGCTTAGCCATTGAGTGTATTTGCTCATTAAATATCAATTAAATATTTATCAGCCCTTCAAGGCAGTCCAGAGCAGGAAACAAAAGGTATCAATGCTAATAATAATTTTAGTATAAGGTTGCAGTAACAGAATCTTGCAAATCTAAATGTGCTTCACCATTCCCTTCAATCAATCAGTATAGAGCTGGAAGAGAACTTGGAGGTCTTCTTGTCCAATTCCCTGCTCAAACAGGAGATCCTATACAATTTGAGACAAATGGCTGCCCAGTCTTTTTTTTTTTTTTAATCCAATGATGAATCCCCTACAACTTCTGAAGGCAAGTTGTTCCACTAGTTGATTATTCTCACTGTTGGGAAGTTTCTCTTTAATTCCAAGTTGCTTCTCTGTTTGATTAGTTTCCATCCATTCATTGTTTCTTATCCTGCCCTCTGGTGCTTTGGAAAATAGGTCGACCCCCCCTCTGCTTTGCGGCAGTCCCTCAAATACCGGAATACTGCTATCCAATCCCTTGCCTTTAGGTTCAAGACTGTTATGTCCTTATAAGAACATCCGCCGGGGGATTGGCTGATTCCACCGGCGGGAGTTTTAAATAGCTGTCATCGGCTGGCTGGCTTGCCGGAGCCGCATAAAAGGAGGCTCCATAGCACAGCCGGCAGTTTCATTCCTACCTAATAAAAGTACTGAACGGACTGAAGCTGAGTCGCGTCTCTTTTCCCTGCACCGATCTAACACTGGTGACGAAGGACGAGCAAAGAACCGACAGCAGATCAGCAGGCACGATCACCACCACCATCCAGAAAGAGCTGAATCACTAAGCGGGATCCCCAGAGCTGAATCACTGAACCATGGCCGGACCACAAATCTCACTGACTCCATTCGATCCGAACCAGGATAAATGGAAGTCATTCATGGTCCGATTCAGACAATTCCTGGTGGGCAGCGGATTCACCGATCTGGACAACAGGAAGAGAGCCCTCTTCCTAGCTCACTGTGGCTCCAGAGTCCTGGAAATGGCCATGGACCTCGTGGCACTAAGGGAGATTGAGCTGATGCCATGGTCCGAGCTAACAAAGACAACTAAGAAGAGTCAAGTCTGATTCACTTTCTAAAACTGCATTTCTATTTTAGACTCAGATTTTTCTTATCTGAGAAACCGTTGTCTCTTCCTCAAGGTTATTCTCACCTCCTACTGCAATATTTCAGAGCTCTATCTACCTTGCAGTTTCTTGCAAATACACAAAAAAAATAAAATATTATTTACGTTTGCAAACACAAATAATACGAATCAATCATCACCTCTCTCTATTCAACAGTCACGGCATCCAATCCATGCTGCCACTCTAATGAAATTAAACTACCACTGATAAACGATAAAACAACCAGATGAAAAATAAAAATGCTGCTGATGGTGGCAGCCACACTGTCAAAAGCCCTGCAATGCACATAAAAACAGGGTGAGCTATAAATATGCCGTTACATTATGATATCTTGATATCTTGATTTTTATGATTCCCCTGAACATTAGTCCCTGCTAATGTCCTCATAACCTCTTGGGAAAGTATCCATTGCTATGTGGAGGCTTGCCTTTGAAAATGATCCAGGAACTTTAATCTAAAACAATTAGCCAGACTGCTTCTTTATGTCATAGTTTGGAAGCAAATGACGGTAAAGCCACCAGCACTGATTATATATCCCTTTTTAATGCCTACTCAAAAATGCTTGTTTTAACCTCGAAAACTGTAAAATGTTTGCAGTTGTAATATTAACATGATCTCTTCCCGTTTCTAGGTGTCCACAACTATTCCTTAAAGGTTAGTCAAGGGGATTTTTATGACTAAAGAAATGATAAATAGTAATTATGCTTGTAGAATATTTTCTTCTTTGATATTTGCCTGGGATTTATGGATCTTTTCCATGCACATAAAGGCCATTATTAAAAAATGTGTGCTTTCCTTTCAAAGTGCTTTTACATCTTTGTACTATTTAATTTTGCGGTCAATGCTACGGGCTTGCTCTGTTCTGTTTTGCTTTTCAGCCATTCCAGATGGTTTTATTTTGGTGTTCTCAACTGTTTTTGCAATTGTTTACCATTTTATACTTGATGTTCTTACGATACCTGGGACACCCCAGAGAAATGAGAGGTTAATAGTGCAATTGTATATATGTCTACTCATAATAAAATAAAAAAAATTTAAAAAGTATTTTGGGAATCCATTCCTTCCTAAATACATACAAATTGTAAGTAATTTGTAGAAAAGTTACATGTAAACTCTGGTCTATGTACTTCTTTTAATGACCAAAGTTGAGCGATACAGTGAAGAAAGTTAGCACCCACCCGTCTTAGAAGAATGAAATATTTTAGGAAATATTAAAAAGGCAGAATACTACATCTCCCTGGATGAGAAAAGGAGAAACGTGCTCTTTGAAAGCAGCCCCCACCTTTGTTAATAGCCCCAGAAAGATTGAGCCATTCCGATCTACAAAACAAAAGGTCAGCTCCAGGGTGACAGAATTAGCCCTCACTCAAGATACAAACCAGGACAAAGCCATTAAGCCATAAGAGGAATTGCCCAACACTCTTTCAGAACACAAGCCTCTTCATTTCATTACCCAGCACAGTTCAACCAAGCTTATCTCAGACAAACTCCTAGGATTTGCACATGACCCCTACAGGAGCCAATAGGATATATGCCCTTGCCACAGGGACAGGAAGCTCAAGTTCAAAGCCCAAGAGAAGGTATAAATAACAGTCACTTTCCACTCCATGTGTTCAAATACACCAGGACCATGTGCTTAATGGTTCTGCTCCATTAAACCATCCTTCCAAGCAGCCTCCATGTTTCCAGTGTCTTTCTCCCTACTTGGAACTGAACCCAGATGGACATTTCTTCCTACAACAGGTAGTCCTCAGCTTACAAACACAATGATCTCAATCATTGTGTGAAGTGGTCATTAAGCAAGACATTCACGTAGCTGCTTTATTCCACAACTACAATCCCAGCATTCCCTGGTTCATTTTTGCTCCATTTCTTCCCCCTGGGATGTTCTCTGTTCTTGTGGCCTGACATCAGAGGTCTCCATGTAAATATGCTGTGGCCCAGTAGCATATTCATTCCTAGTTAATTTGGCATTCTCCCTGATGTAACAGAATAAGAGTTGGAAGGGATCTTGGAGATTATCTAGTCCAACCCCATGCTCATGCAGGAGACCTATACTAGGGATTCGAACTGCCAACCTTTCTGATCGACAAGCTCAGCGTCATAGCCACTGAGCCACCCAGCCAGGTGGGGAAAACCTTCTTTCTTCCTCATATAGACGACTGTAGTCTTGGGATTTTTCTGATCAGGGCAGAAAGGTGGAATTTTCTTGTCCCACATGCAACAATTTTACCTCTCTTCTCTTTGTCAACTACACAGAGAAGAGTAATAATTATTACTATTAGTCCTCGTTGTGTACAATTAGCACCCTAGAGTATTATGCAGCCTAAAAGCTTTCCTTTCCCTGGTGTGATACAAATGCGTAAAGCGATGATAGGTACTGAGCCTGAAGGAAGGAAAGACACTCCAGATGCAACAGGTGATTTCCCAGGATGACAGTTAAATGTTGAAGCCCTGGGATTTAAGATGCCCTTATAAGGTTGATATTCTCTTGAGTCAAGCTCAGCTCCTGGTGACAACAACATCAGATCCTTGTGATTTTTTTTTGGCTACAGTTTGGAAGTGGTTTAACCACTGCCTTCCACTGCAGTGTTTTGTTTTTTTTTCAGTTTCCTAGTCTAATTTGCAACTCTCCAATTTTTCTTTTATTTATTAAACAAATGTCTATAGCTGCCGAACTCACAGACAGGTGACTCCTGACAGCTTACAATATTAAAACCCCACAACATTAAAAATTCCTAAATAGCTCCCACCACCTTCCGCCTTCCACCCACACAGCTCCCATGATAACAGCAATACAATCAAATCAACCACTTGATCAGTTCCATCTCCATTCATGGTTCCCAGGCCCATTGACAAGACCACATCTTCAGGGTCTTTCAGAAAAGCAACAGGGTGTGGGCTAATTTTGCATTTCAGTGTGGGGGATGATGTTCCATAGAGAAGGGGCCACCATTGAGAAGAACATTTTTTGTGGTCCCATCAGATGTACATCCCTAATAGATCACACCTGCAACATACAGTACAGTACAAAAAATGACTGGCAAAAAGGAAAACTAAAAGGAAATAGATAGTGGGACAGGATTCCTTTTTGCTCTTGACTTT